CAAGAAGAATCAAGGGGTAAACATTTTTTAGATATTATTAATGTGATACTGTTAGAATTGTTCAAATTCCGGATTGATGAGTAGAAATAGAAAGAAAGCGATGGAGAAAGGTAAACACTTCTGTACATAACTGAAATCACCATCTAATCGGAAATCAACTTTCTCTCCAAATTCGTCTCTCGATCTATCTCTAATTTCTCCAATAATTCTTATTATCTCCTTAAACTTCTTCTTTCTCAAGTACCTTTTGCTTAATCTAATTAGGATTAATACTTTCTAAAAATACTATATTTTAGGCATTCAAGTGTATTATTCTATTACATTCTAGTCACCCATTCGCGTTCAACATTTTTGGTACTCGATATCCGAAAAGGTTAATACTACAACGATTGATTCTTCTTATTTGTAGCATAGTCACAATTATGTTACAATCTTCTAACACAGTTCTTTTGTGAAAAGAATGTGATAAATGAATGAACATAAACGAAATTTATAAATATAAATAAAATTAATAAATCAAAGAAAAAGCAAGAAATATTGAACATTACTTCCATTTTATACAAAACCACCATCATATAGAGAAAGTACAGCAAAAAAATTGACATGGTCATGAAAAGTTACTAACTCTTGAAGATGCAATCTACATTCTACAAGTCAGATTTTAGGGTTAGGGAGATATAACTAGACAGTAGAAAGAACAAAGAATAAATTGGGAGAAAAAGTTAATCATAGGCCTTTTGAAAACCCCAACTTTATAAGATGTGACCACAAGGCAACACTCACTCTACCACACCCAATTGAATTTATCTAGCTTTCACATCTTTTCCTTGGGGAGGAAGTGTCCCAAACACTCTATCCCAAAATGATGAAGTAATTCCAAAGCCCATGTTTTGAATCCTGAAGTGATGATTTAAGTGATATTTCTGCCAGAAAAAAGCAAACAAAGCTTAGATAAAAACTAGTTTCGTAATACCACATCCATTGTTCTTTAATAAATAATTTTAGAAAAATTCTAAATAGCATATTTGATTCTTTAGGTATAATTTCTGTCCTGCATAAACAAATTGAATGCATTCTGAGCAAAGCCTGTGTTGCAGTTTCATTCCTGTTATGAGCAAAATAGGAATGTAGTACCTCACCAAGAATCTTAAGTTTTAAAATCATGTGCAAGACATTATAGAGGTAGATAATTTGCAACAATGACAAGACACGAATTAGCGGCAGAAGGACCATCACCTTAAGAGATTTGGCTACTTCCTTTTTGGGCTGACCATGGTGCAGGTAGTAATGAGTGCAATCATACATCACATAGCCTAGCAAACCACCACCAAATAAAGCGGGAGCAGTGGACGGAGTGGCTAACAGCTTAATCAAGTTCCAGAACTAGCAAAGGACAGTGTGTAAGGAAAAAAATTAACCCAATTACTGGATACCATCAAATAAACATTGAAGTATGCACATCACGGAAAGGAAAAATATAGACAAGCATACAACCATTAAATAGAATTTAGTGCAACACCCTTAAGTTAATTTTTTTATAGGCAAGCCTAAACAAGCATGCATATATACTAGTACTACTTAGTTGTTAAACACTAAGCATTCTGCGTTCTATAATCACCAACAACCTGTAAGTTGAATATTGGCCTCTCCCTACACCAAAAATATCTGCTTTTTTTTTAAATCAAAACCCATGCAATCAATTGAAGAACACACAGGAAAAATGATATTAACAATTGAATGACTGTAAGGATATAATGCCAAGATTAATATTGAGTTCTTCCATAAAAATGAGTTCCATAAAAAATTACAAAATTATGATATAATGCCAACATGCTTTGCAAAGACACATGTAATCAGTTGAAGAGCATATAAAGAAAACGAATTAGCAATCCAGTAACTGTAAGGATATAATATCAAGCTAGACTTGTCACCACAAAACTACAGGGTCTTAAGTTTCATGAAATGCTACAATATGTGAAAGAGAAAAAAAGAAAGGTAATCACAAATTACTTTTAACCATAGTAATTACTTGCTGCTACTAGGAGAAGGCAATATACATACTGGTACTAATAGAACGGCTGTTGCAGCAGGAGGAAAAACAAGCCGAAGGCCATCCATGGGGTGCTTATGATGGCAGCCATGAAGAAGATAGTGCATGGTGTTTCCCCTTAAATAAGTTCTCAGTTATGTTAGTTTGGTAGTATGACTAACCTAATAAATGATAGAATCTGAAGAAAACATAGGGTGATAGTTGGTGTGCACGTGTGAAATATGTCTGAGAGGAAAGAAAAGAGAGCAGATAACTAACCAGTAACTTTTTGTTTGATATGAAAAGGAAACGATGTAACTGTACTCCATCAATGTCACACAAATATGCCTAAGGCCACTGTGAAAAACAATGTCTGGAACAGTATGGGCCCATCTTCACAGACATTGAGATAAACCAAACGACAACTGGCAGCCAAATGACTGGAATTGCCCACCAAACTGTCCGAGTCAAGAACTGTTTACAAAAATCAAGTTAAAACTGTACAACCATTTAATCTTTGGTCGTTCCTTCATTTCCATCATTCTAATTAGTAAATAATTGCATATTAGTAACATTTCATGCCTAAATATCATCTTCCACACATCTATGATTTACCTTAATGATTATGGAAATTTCTATGGATAAAGAAAAAATTCATTTCTTTTGTCTTTCCTTCATTTCCATCATTCTGATTAGTAAATAATTGCATATTAGCAACATTTCACGCCTAAATGTTATCTTCCACACATCTATGGTTTACCATAATGATTATTGGAAATTTCTATGGATAAAGAAAAAATTCATGTGGTAAGATATATTAGAGATTTGAGAGTAACCAAATATGGCATGGAGGGGGTTTTAGACATCATCTTAAGAAATAAGTTCTTAAACAGTACACTTGATAGTTAATCGCTTCACACAGCCAAGGTATTGAGAAAACTCTCATTTTTAACTCATGGATTTTCCTAAAAGTGAGATTAAAGAGATATTTATCATGCTTACACAAGATTTCAATCTAATTATGATTTCAGAAGTCTAATAAAAAATCTAGAACTTAAAGGAATTAAATATAATAAAAATTTGATATTGATAAAGTTGTACTAATAGAGTCCAAAGCAATATGAGAATTCGTGATTGAAAAGAAACAATTCCTAATCAATTTAGAAAATTTAGTACAAATCCATGCTGCATAAACTCATACCTCCCAAAAATCACTCTCAAAAAACCTAGGGCCTTCCTTGCTTACAATAGGTTGGTGAACCCACTCCTCATAATCTTCTCCAAGGTGACCAACCTGTTATACATTCTAGCATAGTTAAAATCAGGATGAAACACTTAAGAAGGAGAAAAAATGAAGAAACAAAAGAGGTAGTAACCAAGCCAGCGTGAATTATGTCCCTTTTAAACAACTGAATCAGGTAGGAATGAGACCCTTGGACTGTAAGCAAAATTGAGCTATGAGAGACTGAATGTAAACCAACAATCCTGGAAACATTTTATATCATAACAGAAAATTTTCCGTGCCAGGAATTCACCTCCAACATGTGTCCGACAAAGTTAACTTATCAATACCAAAATGTTCATATAATACGCGACTTGATCGACCATATCTTTTGAAGGATCATAAATGACTTTCTTGGGAGGAAAAATTTTGTAATTCCAATATCTGTTTTTATTTTTGTTCACATAAAGGGGGCTAGAACCCCTGATCGTTAACTCCAGACAAAGAGATCAGAGTGAAGTGAACTAAATGACATTACCGTATTTTGAAGACTTAAATTTATAATAAATTATCTGTATAGAAGTTCTCCAAACATCAGTCTAAAATAATGAAGCAAACATCAAATTTTATGCATAGATTCAAAAACAAGCTATTACCGAATACTTTACGAACATAATTAAATGCAACTCTACCTGAAAAACGAGGGGCTTATTCAAGTCGACCGTGAAGCCTTTAGCAACCATGTTGGCGACCTTTTACCTTTTATGCAGCTGAAGATAAGTTAAAAACAAAAAGAAAAGCATAGTCTTTAGAAAGTAATATATTGTTACACATTATGTTTCTTTCTATTTTGTCATTTATGGAAAAACTTTTCTAAAGATGTATGCTGGGATATTGAAACTTCACAGTACTAAGTATAGAGTTTTTAGTGAGATTTCTTCGAAGTTTTTTAGTCTTACAAATGCAAGATTTCATTCTTTCATTTTTATAGTTATAAAATACAAAAATCTTGTTGAAAAAATTCTTGAGCACAGGCATGGCCTCAACAAATGGATGCAAGATATATGCACTAAATATTCATATTTAAAATAAAAATCCATATAGTTAAAAATATACATTGACGATTGCAGATTTACATCATCAAGATTTTGCATTAATAATGTTCCCTTAACCCCCTTCTTCCCTCTTTGAATAATCTAGACACCCTGTCTTTACCCATCAATTGCTTAAACTTCCAGATATTGAGAATTCACCAAATATTTGCGGCATTAATACACCAAGAAATAGCATTTATTTACATGTTAATATAAAGTCAAACATTCAGTACATCATCATCAAGACGGTCCCACGAGAAAAAATAAATTTTTTTTTGCTCAGAAACCATAACTACTCACACCCAATTCATTAATTTTTCAGAAAGAAAAGGAAAGTCTAAATCTATGCTTCACCTATAAATATAATTTTGTCTTTCGTCAAGAATGCTCTTTGATTAAGAACCCACATAATAACCATCACGTTACAAGAAACCCAAGAGATAGCAATGAAAAGAAGAAATCACACAAATAGTTCTGTAAAAATACAAATCGAAAGAACACAATGCATTTTAAGGGCTTAAAATACGAAAGTTTACCGAAATGTTATCGCTTTCACGAGCAAGCACCTCAATAATTTTGAAAATGCAAAAAAGAAAATCCAACCAAACAGAAAATTATAGAAAGAAAAAAAAAAGAAGTATTAAAGAACCGTCCAGAATGCACTTAAGAAAAAACACATTAGAAACACCCAAGAACCCCAAATTTCCCGAGAAAATTACAATTTACCCGAGAAAAACAAAAAAAAAATCAAGAACAAGATCCCTAAAACCACGATTAATACTAACCGAAGACAATGCGAGAGGCCACCAGGAGAAATCTCTCTTTCTATCTATAACCTCTCCCTTTATAATCCCCAGTACCGCACCACCACCACCACCACCGCAATAAAACGTTCTCGTTCTTGTGGTGGCGTTTTTTTTTTTTTTTTTCTCTGTTTCCTGAAAGTGGTGTAATGAATAGAGATATCTCGCAGACAGAGGGGATTATTTGGGTATATATACGGAGGATGGAAGTGGAAGATCTGAACCGTTGATTTAAAATAGTATCAGAAAAATCATCCAGCGGATCCTCACCTTGCATTCCGATGATTACGAGGCTGGCGCTTTTAAAATACAATTATAAAATTACTATAAAATTAAATTTAGCTTATTTACTTATTTGGTAAATATGATAATTTCAAATTATTTACTTGCGGTTAAAATTTTTAAGTAAATAAAAATAAAATAATTGGAGGAGTAATTATTAACCAAAATCTAATTAATTGAAATTTTTAATATAGTTATTATAATTTTTTTTGGCTCGAATATATAATTTTATTATTTTATTTTTATATTTTTTAAAACGTATCGTTCGAGATCTGACATTTTATAAATTTTTTAAGTTATTTGTTACGTTAGAATTAATTAAAATTTTTACACGTATGTTATGTCATACAATATTTGTTAATATGAAATGAAAAAAAAAATAATTATTTTATATAATAGATATAGGTTGATGTAGTTCTCATATTATATTAAATTTTTAAAATAGTTTTAGTTTATACTGATTTTTTGTAGTATTGATATATTTCAAATATATATATATAATATAATATAATATAATTAAAAACATAAAATATATATGTGTTATACTTAAATGTATTTAAAAAAAAATTATGTTAACCGATATGAACTACTAATAAAGTAGAATTGGTCGTTTTCTTAGTATAAATCGGAGAATGCACACTCATAAATTTGTCGGTAATACATTTTAGAAACAGACAGAGAAGTTAATTCGAGTTGAAATTTTTCCTACCAAATAGAACTTAAAAGGACG